ATAACCCTCCCCCCCCCCCCCCCCCCCCCCCCCCCCCCCCAAGACAGACGAGTCTTAAACGGCTGTAGGGAAGATAAGCATCTGGAGTGGAGGAGATAAGGCGTGGCGATAAGTCGCGGAGCAGTCTGGGCCTGGAGGGGCTGGAAGGGCCTGGAAGGGCTGGGAGGGACCCGTTCCCGGGCGCATTCCGTGGCCTGTCTTCCCACCGGCGGCCGTCTCCGTCGTCTCCTGCCTTTTGTGAGTTCTTACCGTTTTCTCGTTAGATCCATCGGAATCGGGATGGTGTCGCCGGTCCATCGAGGGCGAATCGCGTTTCTCCTAGTTATTCGACTGTGGTCCGAAACCAAGGAACGAAAAGAACTTAGCTCACTCTCTTTCAACGTTCGCCCAGATAAAGCTTCACCTTCCGTAGTCTTGAAACGCAGTCGCCCGGCCCGAATATGGTAAACTCGTGGATCGTTTTCATTTAACTCCGCCCGAAGATTCTGGAGAATCCGTCGCTCTCGCCTCGGAAAACACAGAGACCCTGCTCGAGTTAAAAGAAAAAAAAAGTTAACGTTGCAAAAAGAGGAAACATGGATCCCCATCCGACGAATAACGTCCAGGAGCTGGAAGAAAAATGAGTCTTCCTTAACCAAAATCAGCAGCAAAAATGTTAAGCTGTTTTTTTTTTCCCTCCAGCACTATCAGTAAATGATGAATAAATATTTAAATTTAATTGATATAAAATAACGGAGTTGTGATAAATTACTTGGAGCCCAAGTCTTCGTGTACCAAAGACATGCTCACAAATTTATTCGCGCGATCATACTTCATGAACATTAATTAATTGCTCATTAATTTTTTTCTCAATGATTTTGAATCCAAGCCGTTTCGAATGCTCACGTGCGAGATGGCATTAATCTTCAGAGTTTTGAGCTGTGCATGAAAATTTCGATCCCTGTCTGCACTGTCCCGACAAACCCATCAAAATAAAATATATTTAAAAAATTTAATTTTGAAATATATTTATTTTGAAAGAACCAGATGTCCCAGAATCAAGGAGTCGAAATGGTCGACGAGAAAACCAGAGAGGCCTGGCGGAGATTCGGAGCCTACGTCGCAGACAGTTCACTCGGCCACTGGGGCCTCCCGGCCACACCCTCCAAGCAGGTGAGGAGCCCTCCAAGCAGGTGAGGAGCCCTCCAAGCAGGTGAGGAGCCCCCCAAGCAGGTGAGGAGCCCTCCAAGTAGGTGGGGAGCCCTCCACGCCCAGACGCGCTTCGCGAGGGCGGAAGGATAAAAGGGATGTGGGATGCATGGGACATGCATCCCCCTTCTAAGATCTTAGCCTCGTCTCCAGTCGATGAGAGAATTTTAAAATCCTCTTTAGAAGTTTAATGTTAAATTAATCTATCTGGATTGGTATGTAACCTTCCTGGTATGCATGTAACCATAAAGGAGAGAGACTTTTCTCTAACCCCATTGAGTTACCTATGGTCGGATCTTAATCTAATCAACCTGTCTTCGAAATGAGCTAATTAGGGAATAATTGAGGAACATTTCCTCAGATGTTTCAGGTGGATAGAGTTCCCTCCATTCAAAGGATCCTGCCTGGGAAGACGAGCTTCTTTCAGTTTAAGACCCAGGAATCTGTCTCGAATATGGGAGTAATCAACGAGGTATTGTTCTCCTTCATTAATCCCTATAATGAGGCAAGGCGAGACACACGACGAGGTCACATAACGTGCCTGTGAGGGAGATTCCTGTGAAAGAGGGAAGGGCTACTCCATTTAATGTGGGACGCTGTGACTCAAACTCCATCTAGTGGTCTAAAGGGGAACTTTGCATGGCACAAATGACTCTTGCAATTGTTTTCTTACCCTTTTGCCTTTTCTACCGTTTAACCGTGAAAAGGTTAAAACCTGAATAATTTTTGGTAACATCCGATTCCTATATTATTGGAGATTTGTGACCTTCATAAAAAATATTTATATTAATATATATATTATTTTTTTTGTGTATAACCCACTCGTGGTTATACCCTGCTCCAATGGGCTGAATATCAAACCTTAAAAATAAATCAGAGGAGATTAAGTAAACATCTAAATAACCATTTGAGATAGTCTTGAACCGACATTAACAATTTTTTTTTCCCATTTAACCCTTAGAAATTTATTCCCTGAAGAATTTTTTTCCAGTAGCAGAGTTCAATTTCCCGAATTCAGTCCTTAAAATATGGAGATGTTCTTAGATTTATTTTCCTCGAGTCGCCAGAATATTCTGCGGTCTATTTGCATATATTTTACTGGGACGTCGTGAAACATAAAATGATGTAGCTGTGACCGGCTGTTTAATGTTTTTTTTTTAAATTATTATTTAAAAAGGTTGGATCCCTTTCAATGCAATTGATCTTTGAAAATGCATTTTTCTCAATTACCTTTTTTCCAATTACCAGCACCGATTACTCCTGGTATTTCGCGATGTCTGCGACACACCTCCCCCACGGTTTCAAACCGTTCTCTTAAGAGCAAGTTTGCCGTGCCATAACGCAATCATGGGAGCAATCGGATCGAAATTATCTCGTTTAAAGTCCCGCGATGCATCTCGACTCCCGATCTGGCCCAAGCAGCCAACCACGTCGTTCGTCATCGCGCAAGCTTGCGGGTCGAACGACTACTTCCGCATCGGATGACTACTTCCGCGTCGAATGACCTTGAGTCACCCAGGGGGCAAACGAGGTTTCGGCGAAAAAGTCTGAAGTGCCTAACAGCTGGCATTCCGCTGGTATGAGGCGATGACTCGCCTCACCAAGGATAGGAACAAGGAGCTTGTTGCCGCGTATACAGTGTTGCTTGACGTAGGAGCGAAATGCCGCATCTGGCATCCTTGATTTGATACTCTCCTCCCATCTCCACGCGAATGCGAACGGGGCTGATACTTTCGTCTTTCATTTTCCTTTCCGTCATTCTCTCATGGTTTCGTTTGAAAATGCTTTATTACCGTCAGATCCAGGGACAACCCTAATACTGTACATTCGTTCATCATCTGTGAAGAAAGCCAGAGCCATTCGGAACTAAATTGAAACAATCGCCCCTTAATGCATGTCGAAGGCTGAAATGTCGCTGGAGATTCTGATCTGACATCCGTGTCACTCGACGGTTTTAGGATTCGGGGATAAAGTTCTGTCGCAACAAGTCGTTTATGGAGTGACCCTTTCTCAAACCCCACTTCTTATACAAGCATCGTAAACCGGATTTAAAAAATGAATGGGAATGACTTTGTCCTTATTGACCTACCCAATGAAAGCCTTTCCTGGAACATGCCGACGAAGAGGGTCCAAGAAAGTCTCCTCTCGTTCATCGCGGTCTTCCTCCCCGCCCCGCCCCCTCCCCCTCCCCCTCCCACTCCCCCTCCCCCAGATAATTATTGTATTGGAATTTCCATCCTGCGTTTGACTAATGTCCATATTTGACAGGACAAAAATAGATATC